AACCATCTATGGTAAAGATCATGCAAATAATGGTTAAGGGTGTTGACTTGAGTTCTGAGTTTGTGCAGCTGAACTGAGATATGGCGTGAGGTAGGGCTGGTGCTTGGCAAATAACTGATCCAGTCAAGAGCACAGGAACCTGGCCCTGATACCACAGGCAGATGCCGCTGCCCAGCATTTAGCAAAGAACTTCAACAAGGGTGGGTGGGTAGGGGGGTTGGGCTCAGGGTTGAGATGGGGTGGCCTGTGGTCATAATATATATGTGGCTACTACAGTCAAGGAAGGCTTGTCTCCCACCAACCTGGCCCCAGAGACCCCACCCCAGGCACCTCTGAGCATGTCATGCATAGGCATCATCAGAGACGGAGAAGAGGCGAGGCAGCACCTCCGTGTGCTTACTCCCTTGTGCTTGCTGGCCACATGGGCTCTGCAGGTGGGCAGCCACCTGAAGGGGTTGACCAGCCTGCAGAACAAGCCCAAGTAGGTCTGGTGCAGGGGAAGGAAGATGACTAGCTGGCCCTTCCTCCGAGTATGCCCTTCTCTCAGCCGGTTCCCCTGGCCTCAGGCTGTCCCCGAGCAGGCTCAAGGCACCACTGATTTCTCCAGGAGAGAGACAGTGCTGTTCTCTCTGACAGCAAATCTGTCTGAGTCTCCTTTCATTAAGCAAAACAAACTTTCTCTTTAATATTTATTTTCCTTTGGGTTAATTATTTGCACAGGTAACACAGTCACCGTGGGGACATAGCCACAGCAAAAAGCCTGCCCAGCTCCTTGGTGCCCAGCCTGCCGCCTCCCACAGATAAGCGCTGTGTTAGTTTTTTATATCTCCTCCATGGCTTTGGAGGCATGTGCAAGCAAACCCGGAGACACATCCTCCCTGGTTTTAAAACAAAAGATAATATTCTACAATTTCATGTCTTCTTTCTTCCACTTAATAGGTCTGAAACCTTTTGTGGGAGAGCTCACTGAGAAATCACTTAGGTGTCTTAATAGCATTGGAGTCTTCACCGTACAGACACAGTCCATCGCTGGTGGGCAGCTGAGTCTGATCTACGCTTGAAAAGAGACCCCAACCTCTCCTTCCACTCCAAGATGGAAATTCTGTAAGCAGTTCCATTAAAAAAGAATAAAAAAGACAGACAAGCCAATGAGGGTAAAATAAATGATCAGAAAAGAGGAAGAATTAATGGGGGCAGGAACTGGCCAAATCAATGGGTCTCCAACTTTCCTTTCTCTTTGTTGGACAGTCATGGTGACCTCCAATGCCTCTACCGTGTGTCTCTTTTCAATTCAATGTTAAAAACTTCCTACTTGGGTCAAAGTGGGAGTAAACACTCCCAGCTTCTCCTTGGCATAATGCAATAAGGTGAGATGTTAAAAGGAAACATTAAATAGAAAGTGGAAGAAAAAGAAGCAAAGAAAAGCTAAGGAAAATCCATTGAGGGGTTGAGAGTGTGGCGGCAGTGTCTCATCCCAGGACTGTGGCCACTGAGTCACTCTGCCTGCAGCTCTGTCTTTGCTGGGGGTGGGGGCAGGCAGCCGTCTGGAAGACAAATGTGTCCTCATTTCGGTCAAGGGGAATACGAGGGGGAAGCTGTTGGTGCTGGGGGAGATGTCCCTGCCTGTCCGAGTTGCTCAACTTCCAGTAGTGCTTCAACAGAAGTGCTTCAGTTTAAGAAGTAACTCCCTAGCCTGGTCCCGCAGGCCATGCTCCGCAGTGCCTTAACCCAAAGGCATGAGCTGGCCATCTGTGAGGAGCAAGGGCTGGGCTGCAGAGTGGCCCCAGTTAGCCTTGACCCTGAGCCTGGCCTTCAAGCCCACCCACATCCTCAGCCCACGCTCCGGGTCAGCCAGAAGAAGTAGATGTGGTTCTTCCTAGACCAGAGCTCCCGTACACCCCCGCAAGCCTGCTGGCCCAGCAAATCTCATCTCTTCCGGTGCTGCCTGGGGCTATGGTGCTGCTGGAAGTCTGAATTCAGAACCAAAATATTAAAGTAGGACAAGAGGAGTAGCCCACGGCAGCCATCTTAGCTATAAACGTAAACTGTGGGAAGGCTTGGGAGTGTAGAGTAGCTGCTGCCCACCTCAAAGAAGTCACGTACCCAGCATTCCTTTCTCAGCATCGCCCTCCCGGCCAGCCCCTGCGACTTCCATAGATCCCCATGTGGAGGATCTGCACTGATGCAGACTGTCTAGGACACTAGCCTCATTCAAGAAGGTCATGTCTGCCATGTTGTTGGCTTGGTAGAGTCTGGGTGGGTTCATCTTCTGGATATCATCCTTCTTCACAGTGAGTGTCTCGGGGACCAGGGTACACTAGAAAATAGAACCTTTATAGCCACAGTGGCATCCGGCACAGGGTCCCACACACCCTCTAGTGTCTTACAAGGAACTGGAGTGAGGCATGCAGTGGGCCCGACTCCTGGTCCAGCCACATCCCACTGTGTGATTGGGACAGGCAGGTACTTTTGATGCTGTATGAGCCTTAATTTTGTCCCCTCCGAAGGGACAAATATCCTTCTTGGAAGTAGGGAGGACAATATCCTCCTTGGCTGGTGGTTGAGGCAAGCACACAGATCTAAGCGAAATGAGATAAAAATACCTTGTAAACCATGACGCTCCTCCCTATAGTACACGGCATGTCTGGCCTGTGCTTCTCTGCCAGCTCGGTTCATGCTAGTAGATGACCAGCGCTTGCCCTTCAGTCCCAGGTGTACTTTTCAGAGCGGTGACTCTTGGGGCTCTATCTCAAGTGTTATAGTTGTAGTTTCAAAATAGCAATGAACTTTCTTTTTAAAAAAAAGTCATCAGCTGGGTATGGTGGCCCAGGCCTGTAATCCCAGCACTTTGGGAGGCTGAAGTAAAAGGACTGCAATTTAGAGTCCCAGCCTGGGCAACTTAGTGAATTAGCAAGACACTGTCTCAAAATTTAAGAAAAGGAATGCAGATGTAGCTCAGGGCAAAGGCCCTGGGTTCCATCTCCAGTACTGCTCCCCCCAGGATATTCTCCTGCTCCCACACTGAAAGCAAGCAAGCAAAGAAGACAGTAAAAACAGCAGTGAATGCCAACCCGCAGATGTATCAGCTGCCGGGTACGGCAGGCAGATGTCCTTACTCTGCACCACAGTCTCTTTATCTGCAGATGAAAACTAGCACCAGCTCTTAAATTCCAGCATCTGCGACCAAAGCTTAAGATGTATGATCCAGAAAACAGATATTTTTTTTGGTCCTAGGCAGTCTTAGATGTGAGGCCTGAACATACACTGGGATTTCTGAGATTTTTAATAATTTATGAGCACAATAGGCAGATAATTTGAAATCTTGACAGTTCTCGAAAATCCACTCAGTAACATCACCACACCCCTAGTAAATCAGGCTGGGTTTTACTCAGAGGCCTTTTCCAGTGGTTTCTAGATTGCTGGGCCTCGCCCATACACGAACACTTCCCTTTGCGCTCCCTCAGGGTAGTGGAGGACTTTGCTTTATCTTAGGAGCCAGGTGAGTCAGTGGCACAGGCTCAGTCCTTTCTATCCCACACCTGGGTGGCTGGCTTGTCCACTGGGGATGCTCAAGGAAGTTGAATATTGTCCTTAAATTTGCATTCCAACAGGGGCCTTGGGGGTCCCATGCCCACCGCCCATCATTTCCTGCAGTTCTGCACTGCTCTGCCCTTCTGAAAAGTTTGGACAGCCCTTGTTATTAAGTTCCTAATGTTAAGGCTCAGGTAGGAGAAACAAGCATTGAGCTTGACTTTCACCTTCAAGCTCATTTTATCTCAGTGATAGCTTCTTTCTTCTCCTGCCCTTTCTCCCTCCTTTTCTACCTTTCTTTCTTTCTTTTGACAGTCTCACTATATAGTTCATGCTGGTCTTGAACTCACTGTGTAGCCCAGGCTGGCCTGGACCTTGCAGCGATCCTCCTGCCTTGGCCTCCCGGTATTACAGGTGTGCACCACGTGCATCTATGGCCTCTTACTTCTGCTGCCACTCCCCGCCAACACAGAAGCAGAGGAAAGTACACCAGATGCAAGTTCTGATCATCAAAATTCTCTGGGTTCTTTTATTCATGAAATTAACCAAGGACTCCCCACCTAGGGAGGCCACCACAGAGAAATGGTAGGTAATATGGACAGAGCATTGGTATTTGAGCTAAGTATGGTAGATTTGAATCCAAGTTTATCACTTGTCTTTTTGTGGCAAGTTACCTGAAGTTCCTTTGATCATAATTTTTCCTCCTTGCAAAGTAGTGTCAAGAAATCCAACTATAAAAGGTTGTTGAAAGATCCAAAAAAAAAACCCATCAAGTGCTTCACTGGGGTTCTGCCAAGGGGATGGGAGCAACAGTGGTTTAATAAACCAAATTTTTGACCACTCTTTCAGGCCATACCTCATTATCAGACATATTGTCTGTCGATCATCAGAGAGAGTGGTGTGTTGGTAAACCAGATGTCTGGGCAGAAAATTCTCTAATTTGTAACATTTGCCAGTTTTCATGATACTAATTTTACTTTGGCTGATGGCAAGCTACCAAAGGTTTAACAATTCTCTGTGACACCCCTGAGTGTTTAGTACTGGATCCTCGAAGGTCAAGTTGCTCCAACACATCATCACCAGGCAACAAGGGACTCAAAAGCCACCACCTGTCCCTCTTGCTGCTGAAGAGCTCACCAAGGGGCCAAGGCGTTCTGAGCCTTGTCTCACATTCCTTATGGCACCATGGGCCGTGGGCTGCGCACCGAGGCTGCGAGTGGGTGGTGTGCTTTCTCTCATTCTTGGAAAATAAAAGGTGTGATCAAAACATAGAGTGAGTGTTTATATTTAAAAATTTATTACAGCAAAAGACACATTGCTATTAATCTTTCTCAGACTACTCCCCATCAACTTCCCCCATTGTTCTTACTACTTATTTTTAATGTCCCTTGGATTTTTTTTTTTTAGAAGAAAAGAATGTAGGATCTACTTATATTGAGTACACATAGTTTCCTTTGTAGTGTGTTTGGTTATTTATATGCATTGCCAATTTAGTTCTCACAATATCCTTGTAAGATATTTCTCTTATCTGAGCCTTAACATTAGGACCTTAATAACAAGGGCTGCCCAAACTTCCTTTATTTTTAAATATTTGCTCCCATAACATTATTTAAAAAGAGAGCAGGTGGCATGTGGGCTACAGGTTGAACATGCCTGATAGGTCAAAGAGAAGAAAGTAAATCTTTTCCCTTTTTTTGTGTGTGTCTGTGTGTGTTTTTGAGATAGGGTCTTGCCATGGAGTTCAGACTGACCTTGAGCTCACTTTGTAGCCCAGGTTGGTCTCAAACTCACAGTGATCCTCCTGCCTCAGCTTCCCAAGTGCTGGGATTACAAGCATGTGCCACCACCACCAGTAATTTTTTCCCTTTTTAAAATTAGTATGTTTGCGATAGATAGCAAATACACCCCCATCATGCGGCGTTGGTACATATACAGTTTACATCTTGATCTTTTTTCTTCTTTTCTCCCTCTACTCCCTCCTGCCTCCCCCCACCCCATCCCCAGATTCCTTTCCCATCTCCAGATACATCCTTGTCACTTTCTGAAGCAGTTCTGGAAGTCCTCTCTCCTGAGTGTAAAAATACGGCAAATTTTGCTGCCTGATATCAACCCAGTGAAAAATCAGGCTTGTATAAAATGACAGTATATCCTCATCCACCTTACTCACCACATCTGGTACTGTGTGAATCTGATTCTTCCCCCAAAGTCAAGACGACCATGAAAGGTAAACGTTTTGAATCGATTCAGGACATAGAGGCAGCCACAACTGCGCAACCAAAGACCTTCATGAAAAAGCTTTTCAGAACTGCTTCAGAGAGGGGCAAGAAAGATGAGGTAAGTTTATCTGACGTGAGGGGAGTTTTCTGCGGGGAGTTAATGACCACGTGTCTTTTACCAAAACAAACTTTTAAAATTTAAACATTCACCGTATGTATCAATCACAGCGTAGAGTTCACTGAGAAACGCCTTGGGACTTTAAAGATGTGTGGTCGTGATAGCCCCTTACACACCTGTGCAGTGTGTCCTCCCTCATTAGCATCTCCGCTGTGATATAGCCAAAGTTCAGAGAGAGAAGCATCTTGCCAAGCGGCACACAGCTTGGTGTAATTGAGTCTAGACTTGAGCCCAGCACAGGGAGCTTACAGGAATCTGCTTTTTGCTACCTGCTCCTGAGCATGAATGTGCGCCTGCTGCTCCCAAGGACCGTGTCCCACTCACCTGGTTGATGATTGTCTTCACAATCGAAAGTGACAACCAGGTCACCTTCTTCAGACTCGATCTCCCCTGCCATGAAGCTCTCCTTCTCATCTGTGATCCAGCACGACCTCTTGATGTCATAGGGCTTGCCCATGGCTTCAGTCCTCTTCTTGGGAGATTCCAGGAGGGGTATAGGGTCTACATCATCCCTGAACTCCCCTTTGTCCCCACCAGGCATGGCAGCTGGACTGAGGGAGGAGCAGGAAGGAACCGAGGGGGAACCAGGACTTCCCAGGATTCTGCGGGGCTGCAAAGGCTGACAGACAAGCTGTTGCAAAAGGTTTTGACAGAGACAGGGTTTGCTTCTCTTATGTCCCTTGGATATACTAGGTCTTTATAATCAAGAAGAAAAAATATGCTAATAACACCTCACACTTGTGTAACACTCACCAACACAACAGGCTTCAGCATCTCTCATCTCCTACATTCCTCACTCTAAGGCTGATGGGTAGGGATCAGAAAGCCCATGTCTTGGTTACTTTTCTCTCGTTGCTGAGACAAAATGCCTGATGCCCAAAATTAAGGAAGGAAAGGTTTATTTAGCTCACAGTTTGTGGAGATTTCAATCCTTACCTGGCTGGCTCCAAGGCAGAACGGCACATGGCAGAGGGCAACAGTTCATGGCGGCAGTAGATAGCAAGCACCCAGAGCAAAAGGGGGGAACGTCGGCAAGTAGCCTCTTTTTCTCCCTTACATATGCAAAACTATCCTCCCCAGGGTGACTATAGCACTCACACCCATAATCCCAGCATTAGACTATGGATCAATCAAATATCTAGAAGCCTGCCCCATGACTGCGTGAGGATTTGGGGGACATGCGGACACGAACTGTAACAGTTCATTTTACAGAGAAGACTAAGGCCAGGAGAAGTTAGAGCAAAGGTTTTCAACTGGGATCCAGGAAATGGGATAAGAAAATGACCATTTGGGTTTTACTTTCCTTCCGGCATGAGGAGAGGCCACATACCACAGTAATTCCAGCAGGGCTAGAGGCTCGTTCCTGACACAAATTACAGATACTCCCTTTCATTTTAGAGTGTGGCGCAAACATCTCACAATGGTGTTTACACTCAACTCTGAAATTATAGCCTCAGTTGGATGTTGTGCTTAAATCTGTTAAATAAAAAAGACATTTGTTATTATGATATTACAAATTCATTTTAATGTTCCAATAGCAGTATTTCATTTGGTTTCCTTTGTTGCCCTGCGTGTTTTAATTTATGCACTTAAAAGTACTACCAGCAATACCTGACTTATGGTGGTTTAGTTTATGATTTTTTGACTTTAGGACAGGGCAAAAGCATATTCGAGGTCATCATGCTTTTTACGTTCAATACAGTAGTCAATAAATTACAGTGGCTTTATTATAAAATAGGCTTTGTGTCAGATGGTTTTGTCCCACTGTAGGCTACTCTCTGTGTTCTGGGCAGGTCTAAAGTGTGCTAGTGTTGGTAGACCAGGTATATTAAATGGATTTTCTGTAATCCCACCTCTCTGGGAGGCTGAGGCAGGAGGATTAGAAGTCTGAGCCCAACCTAGGCAATTTAGTGACTTGGCAAGACCCTGTCTCCAAATTAAAAAATAAAAAGAGCTGGACATGTAACTGAGCACGGAGACCTTCAGTTCAATTCTCGGGGTTACAGAAATAAATAATTAATATTTTCAGATTTAAAATAAAGATGCATTTTTTATTCTTGGTGTGTTTATCAGGATGTTAGTTCATCATAAATTGAGGAACATGTGTAATTGGAGAAGGAGTCCATCAGTTTTACTGGATGTCAAACAGGTCCCTGGTATAAAACGATTGCCTGTATCAGTGGTTCTGTCTCCTAAAATGAAGCCAGGCTGACATCAAGACTGGAGTTCTCCATTTTTGATCCAGATAGCTTCTCCAGGAAGGAGGGGAGCTCGGGGCTCAGGGGAACACAGAGAGAAGTCAGGGGCCTCCCTAATTTTTCTTGAGGATTAAAAACCTTGAAGTTTTGGGAAGGACATGGTTCTGAACCCCTTTGCCCAGTTCTATTCTTAAGACCAAGAATGTAGCCTCTGTCTTTAAATAGCCCTATGAGGATGTCTCCAAAAGAGGTTAAGTCAGGATAGACAAGGAGTGGAAGCCAAACCAGACACCCTGCTTCTAATCTTCCTGTGGGGCCTAGAGCCTGATCCCACACCTCCAAAACTAGGATTAAAAGTAGCCAGGCATGGTGATGCATACCTGTAATCCCAGCACTCGAGAGGCTGAGGCAGGAAAATCACTGCAAGTTTGAGGCCAGCCTGGGCTACATAGTGAGTTCAAGTTCACCTTGAACTATATAGTGAGATGGTCTCAAAAAAAAAGAAAAATAGTAGTGAAAATCATGATGGAATTGTTTTCCCACGGGAATCCCAAAGCCCTAGGTTAAGAATGTCTGTCTATATGTAATCCTCTGATGTCTGTCGTGGAGAACGAAGTCCTCACTTCTGCTGATAGCCTTCGTCCAGCCTCTGGGAGACCTGCTTTGTGTTTAGCTGTGCCTCAAGTCACCTTGGGCAGCTTCGTGGCCTTCCTGGGGCTTCCCTCTTTTCATTCCCCTTCTGGAAGCTACAGTTGCTCAACATAAACTTTAATTGTGTTATCTTATGATTTTCTAGTTTCTCTGGTTCTGCTTAACACGGATGGAAGTCACTGGAGATGAGACCAAAATCCACACAGAAAAGAAACACAAAGTCAGATTAAAATGTTCTAATTTGCCATTAAGACAAAACATCTGCCCACTTCTGAGGGGCTGGATTCCTTTTCAATTGTTCTAATGGGGGGAGTAGATGTGAAATATTCTCCTTTGTTTATACCAATCAGGCTGCTTCTTTTTTTTTGCAGTACCAGGGATCGAACTCACGACCTTGTACTTGCCAGGCAGGCGCTTATGCCACTGAGCTATATCCTCAGCCCCTAGGCTGCTTTTATTTAAAAAGAAAAATTGTGGTTTTGCTACAAGCCACAACGTAAGATCCCATTGCTGTTGTGCCCTGGGGCACAGAGCCCTCCAGCCCGGTGCCAACACCAGGTTCCATCCCTTTCAGTGGCCACCACCCTTCTAGTCCGTCATGCCCCCTCCTATGCAGAGTGCTCTGGTCCCCCAGACAATAGCTCTTTTCGGGGTATTTCTGATAACCAAGACCTGTTTCCTAAAATCACAAACCACGGAACAGAAAAAATGTAGCTCATGGAATGCGAAAGTTAAATGCATCCTCAGAGGGAAAAGATGCCTTATAGGACCCCAAGTGGTGCAGGAAAGGGGGCTGATCTGGGCTGGAACCCATTTTGCTTGGGTCTCACTGTGCATGCCGTGTGAGTCCCACCAGCCCTCTGCACCCGTCCAGGAATCTGCATGCCCCGTGGGTGTGCAGCGCAGGCCGTTGGAGGGCGGAATGAGATGCCGCCTCTGCAGCCCCTGGGGCAGGCAGGTGCTCCCGAAATCCGCATTCTTGCTCACCTCTCCTCATTACATCCACTTTCCTCAGGGGCCTTCTGCACCTCTGCAGCACACCTTCTCCGTCCCCTCCCCATCCCCGCGGTACCTACCTAGAGCACACAGGAGGAGGCTGGGTAGCCAGCTGGGCCTGGCCATTCCCTTTCATACCTGCCCCAAAGGGCTGAGCCAGCAAAACTTAAAAAAGACAAGAGCCCCTGAGAGCTCAGCTGGGTCCCTCTGGGTGAGGACTCAGGGATGGCCCTGAATCCGGGACCTCCTCCTTCCTCCCATGGCCCTTGTGGGGGACTTCAGCCAGGGGCGTGGGCTGAAAGCAGAACTAGAAGAGCTGGGTAATGAGTTTGCCTAGTAAAGTTAAAGCTGTCACTGCACTCAGGAGGGAAAGACTCTCAGGGGGCACAAGCTGGGTCGGCTCAGCGGCAGCCTTTGGCGGAGATGAGTGTGAGGAACCCATTGGTTGAAGACTTTGTCCCTTCCAGTGCTCAGGGTGGAAGGTCCATGGCAGCTTGAACTTCACCCTTCTCATGATGCCCGTGACCCCCTCCAGCCCTCACAGACAGCAGAAGCCATGTGGCATCATGGCACAGGGCCAGGCGCAACCCCCCAAGCCCTGCCTCTTACCTCCTCTGTGACTTCCCAGGCACTAACAACAAGTCCCCGCACCCTCCAGTCCTGCCTGTCCCATCTGTAAAATGGGTTGCTTGGATAATGGAATCTAGGGCTCCTTTGTGCTCTGCTCAAGTTTGGAGCTGATCTCTGGGTCTATAGCTGGAGGATGTTTCTCCTGGCATTGGCCACACCCCCACCTCCACCCCCTCAAGTCCTCAATGCACTCTTTTCCCCCTTTGGAATAAATTGACATAACCTAAAGTTAACCAATTTACACAAACAATTCAGTGGCATTAGTACATTTACAATGTTATATGGCTACCACCTCAGTCTAGTTTGATGGCTATTTCATCAGCCCCAAAGGAAACCTAGTACCCATTACACAGTTTCTCCCTAGCCCCTGGCACCACTCCCCCCACACAATCTGCTTTCTGTCTCTGCATTTGCCTGTTCTGGGCATATCGTATAAGTGGGATTTACCATATGTGGTCTTTTGTGCACAGCTTCTTTTATTTGGCATGTTTTCAAAGTTCATCCATGTTGAAGCATGTATTAAGACTGCATTCCTTTGTATGGCTGAATAATAAATATTCCATTGTATGGACAGATCTGTATGGATAATTAGTTTCTTTTCTCTTTCTTTCTTTCCTTGCTTCCTGCCTTCTTTTTTTTATTTATTTTTAAATTATATCTTTTGCAGAAGTGGGGATTGAACCCAGGACCTTCATACTGAGCTACACCTTCAACCTTTTTTAAAAAAATGTTTTAAATTTTGAGACAGGGTCTCGCTAAGTCCGTAAATTGCCCAGGCTGCGCTTAAATTCAGGGTCCTCTTGCCTGAGCCTCCTGAGTTCCATAATTACAAGGGATGCATCATCCTGCCCCATCGTGAATCTCTCTATTTAGTCATTGGTTGATGGATATTTAGATTGTTTTGGCTGCTGTGAATAACATACAAGTACGTGAACATATGTGTGCATGTATTTGCTTGAGCACCCATTTTCAGTTCTTCTGGATGTTTACCTAGGAGTGGAATTACTGGATTATATGGTAATTCTGTCTGTTCTTGAGGTAAACCACACTGTTGACCACAAAAACTGAATCATTTTTCACTCCTACCAGCAATTCACAAGGGTTCTAATTTCTCCACACTCCAGCCAGCACATTCTGTTGTTCCTTTTCTTTTTAAAAAATTTACAGCCATCCTAGTAGGTCTGGAGAGGTATCTTACTATGATTTTGATTTCATTTCCCTAATGATCAATGATATTTAGGATCTTTTCATGAACCTGTTTGTGTATCTTCTTTGGAGAAAGGTCTCTTTGAGTCTTTTTGTTGTTGTTATTGTTTTGTTTTTTTCG